TTTCTCTTTTTCCTTTTCCTTCTCTAACAGAGCTTTAAGATCCTCCTGACCCTTTGCCAAGGTCACGAGGAGTTGTTGGAACTGTGAATTCTGCGCTTGTAAGTCTTTGACCGTCTGCTCTATATCCATCTTGCTGAAATAAACAACAGAGAGATAAAGGAATCTGGTGTGAAGACCTGTTTATGCATATGATGAATGATATTTATTCATGTAATGCATTCAAGGATTCAGAAATTCAAATTTGTTGTAAACAAAAAGAACACACATCATATTAATAAAAATAGAATTTATTAGTACATAAACTCCCCATGGGCAAAATAATACAAAGTTCTAAGGTAAAAAGACGTTGCGCATCCTCTTTGGCATAATGTAGGTGTTAAGAGTCTGCTCTTCATGGAGTCAACGAGTAAGTTCCAAAACCTTCTTCTCACTGGCGTAGAAGCTGGCTTTAAAAGTGTTATGTTCTTCCTTGAGCTGTATCCAACTCTTTTTCAGATCTTCCAATGATGTCGGCATGTCAGGATGTAGGAGGGTGTATGGAACCTCTCCTTCCATAACAGGCTCTTTGATCACTGGGAGAATGTAGGGGTAAGGCATCATAAGACTCTGGGCGCAGGTTCATACCCAATTGAGGTAAGGCTCAAGAGGGATAGAATTCTTGTGTCCCAAGGTCTTAATGTCCACCTTGTTGGGCATCCTCCAGGCTCAGATAAACCTTTATCGAAGTCCTTGAGCGTCATTATCGAAGTCGAAAACCAAGTCTGGAATCAGCATGTCATGAGGGCCATCCCTTTGGGCATACCCAAACTGTCTCAGAGCCAAGAAAGGGTTGTAGGTAATTCCTCCTCTAATGCCAAGTAGTGGGACATTAGGGAATTCCCCACAACGATCAATAATGATGACATTTTCTTTGGACCGAGAACACCAATGAACATCAGAATGTGTAAGAGTCATCAATCGTTGTGACCACCTTAAGCCTTGCTCATTCTTCAAGACTGATTGGGGAAGGTGAGAAATAAACCACCTTGCTAGAAGAGGAGTACAGCACATGAGAACACCTATTTTCCTCATTGTTCGTGTGTGAAATGAGTGTAGGATGTCCCCAAGAAATGTAGGCACAGGATTCCGAGCTATGAAAATCTTGACAGCACTCACATCTATAAGCTGGTCAGGGTTTGGGAACAAGACCAACCCATAGATGAGAAGAGCCACGATCTCCTCAAAAGCTTGTAGATCTATAGAATTCTAACATTCTTGTGCCTTCTCAAACATAAACTTTGCCAAGAAACCCTTGACACCACTTCTGGTTTCCCAATGACCTTTGATATCAGATGGTTGCAAGTGTAAGGCTCGAGCAACATCTTCAGGCTTTGGTTCTCTTTCTGTACCGTTGTACGGTAGTTAATGGAGAATAGGAATCCTCAGGAGTTGAGAAAATTCCTCCAAAGTAGGAACTAGTTGGTAATCAGGAAATGTAAAGCAATGGTGTAGGGGGTCAAAGAACTTGAAGAGAACTTTCACCATGTCTTCCTCTATGTTGGAGTTGACCAAGTTGAGAAGTCTACCATGTCTTTCAGTGAAGGGAGAATTCTCTGGAATCTTAGAAGCAAGCTCCTTGAGTTGAGGAGGAATTCTCACAAGGTTGACCTGGATTGTTTTCCGGCGAAGTGATTCCATAACCTACAAAACAGGAACAAAGATGAAGATCCAAACCCTTGAAATGGTTAGTGGATGCATACGATGCTTCATGATGTTCATGATGTATGCACAAGTATATGTACAAGCAAATCATACAAGTTCCTAGTTTTAGGCTTGCATGGGGTTTCATAGGTAAGTACCCTCTTGAAGTTAGTTGGCTCAAGTTGTCCTATAAATAGTAACCGGGTTCTAAGGAGCTCAATATCACTGGATTATTTTCTGTGTTCATTGTTTCAGTTTAGCCACTTTACTGGCGACCGAAATATTCCAAGAAAACAATCCTCAATGAGTGTAGTATCGAGTAACTACCAACTTCGGACTGCACCAAAGCCGGTCATCTCACTACTCCTAATAAGGCCAAGATGGTCAAGTAAAGGTTCTAAAAGTCCACTAGTGCTTCATGACATCACTCAGCGGCCCCGTATTCTCTTTGATTGAATCAAAGGCTACCGGTACCCATAAATATGTCGCACTAATATAGCTATTGCTTCAACTATGTCGGTATACCCCGCACAGTTTCCACAACGTATTGCTATTTACCTATGAATGTTTCCCAAATACGGGTAGAGGATTTCAAACCCAAACAATAGAACCAAATGTAAAACAATCAAAGCAAACAAGATAAGCATGTAAAGGTGATCTAAAACCTAAGGTAACCCCACTTTTAGATCCCCAGCAGAGTCGCCAGTTCTGTGATGCGGTGGAAGAACTGACTAGAAGTTTTGCGTTTTATGTTTGCACTTGTGCGGTTTAGCAAGAGTCGCCACCGACTTTTTATTTTATCCAAAGGAAAGGTCAAAAAGCACAGGAAAGACCTTTGAGATGTTTTCTTGAGTTCGAGGGGTAGATTATGAAAAGGGAACGTGCTAGCACCCTTTTCATCCATGGTTTTCCATGGGCTCTTAGTTACTTGTTTAGATAACTTGCTTTTGCTTTTCAATTGTTTGAAATGGTGATTTGTGTATGTGGTTTTGAAAATGTTTTTAAAAAGAGGCCTTGTCTAGGAAACCTTTGTAACAATTCTTGTTTGAATGTTTTATAAAGGCGTTTGTCTTTTGAAAAGATGTTTCAATGTTTGAAAGTTTGATTTGGGAAATGTTTTGAAATTGTGTTGAGTGTTTTTGAAATTAGCAAGGATGTTTGCAAGAGATCAAGTAACTAGGAGTTGTCTACCCTAACTCAAAGATCTTTTTTACTCATTTTTAACCCTTTGACATTTGTTGTTTTACCATTGTATTTGGTAAACAAACTTGTGTTTGGATGTTAAATGGGACAGACGCGGGTCATCGTATACAATCATTGAAAGCAACTTGTGAGACACTCTAGCAATTTTGTAAGGGACGAGATCGTTTTATCAAAGGAATCATCGAGGGTCATCGAGAGACTATGATCTTTGTTTATCGAAGGGTCATTTGCTAGAGTGTCTCATATTCGAGGGACATGATTGTATTTTCGAGGAAACAAGCAAGGTTAACCTAGAGGTGCGCGTGTGAGAAGTGTGTTGATTTCAAGTTATTTATTCTTGGATTAGGTCATCTAGCGATTTATTTTTGAATCTTGCCATACATGCCTAATTACTACACAGTATATCGAAAGCGATAAATTGCGGTGAAACAACCGACTGAAAATCATCAAACAATGAAGTCGCCATCGAACGTCTTTTATCCCGCATGTAGGGAAAGGTAAACATCGAGAAAACCTGAGGAAAGGAGAAGTCACGGTCTTGCGACCGAGAGATAAGGGTAAGGGAGCCTGTTACGCGAGGGGAAGGTATTAGCACCCCACACGCCCGTAGTACTCTACGGTATCCACTCTTGTTATCTATCTTATGGGTGTGTTTAATCTATGCTTACTGTTTATTATACTACTGAAGGGAATGCATGCAAAATAAGGAGAAAAGAATGTAGGGAAAATAAAATTGTGCTCGCATGGGCCCTACCCCAATGCCTACGTATCCTTTTTGAGGAATCAGAGCTACCGTAGTTCGGCTCATATGTTTTTGTTTGTTTGTGTTTTTTATAGACGAAGTTAATTCCGCCTTCTTCCGCAGCTCGACCTTTGGAGACTTATGCGTTGGCACAGAAGTAAATTAATCGTGTCCTTACCTGAAAAGGGTTTCTTAGAGAAGTGGTGCTCAAGCGCACAAAATGGTTTGAATTTGTTTTTGTATTTTTGTTGTAGATGATGACTGATTGACCTCAAGAGAGAGATATTAGCCATTTTTCTACTTAGCCATGAAAGGAGTCTTTGAGAATTGAATCACACCTAAACTTGAGATGAAGAACGATAAGATCGAGAAGAGACCCGCTTATCATTTCCCATATTAAGCAAAAGTGTGATTCTCATAGTAATTTTAAAGTGTTTTGAATTTTTAAAGAAAAGAAGTTTTAGTTTTAGATGCGTATGCGAAAGGACAAGAAAAGTTAAAGGGGAATTAGCTTATTTCTAAACCTGATGTTATCGTGCGTTGTTAGACCTAAGTCAAGGATGAATGAAGGAATTCTACCTAATGTTGGCGTGCATATGGTTTATGATAACGCCCTGTTTCTCATGATTTCTATAAAGTGATAACGAAATGCAATAAAATGAAGAGAAGTGTAAGAATAGTAGCGGAGGCTACCAAAGTGAGCAAATCGTCAAGAGCGAACGAAAGCACCGAAAAAGAAAGGAGTACGCGTCGAGCAAGCTTCACCAAGGAACAAACAGAGTCAGAAACAATATTCAACTAAGATAAAGGCAAACGCGTATTGTGAATGCAAAGCATAATCAGAATTTCCTTGCACAATGAACAAACGCGTCAAAAATAACGTGGCATTATTCAAGGATCAGAACTTGCCTCCAAACCACTCTTCATGCCCATGAAATTGAATCAAAGATACAAAATCGACAAGGACGTGTAAAAATCTTAATTCTAACCATATATTAAACACTAATTTAATTAATTCATACGCTAATAAAAAATTATTAAAAATATCAACAAGTCAGGAATCACCGTATTAATATCCACACCAAATTTCAGCAAGAAATCATGAATGAATCATCAATAATTAATTACAAAAATTAAGGAATTAAAGTAAAAAAAAATACAAAGAATAAGGTGGTGTAAGGATCAGATCTAGGGGGTGCTGTATAGCAAGCTGATGTTAGGCCCATTGTAGAAGTGAGGTCCAATTAGCATTTTTTGACAAGGCTCCAAGCTCCAAAAACGCAGTAGGCCCAAAGGGGAAGCAAAAGTTTCGGTCCAACATCATTATATTTACTCATATGTTTTTGTTATTATCTTTACCCATTTGAATTAAAAATTAAAACAGATAAAAAGAAAGTAAAAAAGGGAACTGAAGGAAATTAAAAAAAAAGAATTTAGGGTTAAAAGAGAGATCTGGCTCTTCGTCTCCCTCACGAAGCTTGAACGGCGCCGCCCCTTTTCGCCGTCTTCTTCTTCGCCTCAACCTTTCAACTCCGGCGACCTCCGTCTCCCTCAATTTGTATCTTCGCTTCGATGGAACTCCACATCTCCACCTCGCAACACTCCGCGGCGGCTTCCTCACCATTCTCCTCCTCTTCTTCTGTCGTTTACCTCTCAACCTCGCTTCGAGCAACCTCTGTTCCTTCTTATCTCATTAATGTTGCAGATTCAAGATCATCTCAACTCTCTGCTTCGATTTCACGATCCACTTTTCATCATCTGTTTCTCACCGCCTTCGAGTTTGCTCCATCCGACTCATTCACCTCTCCGCCTCAGATTTAGAGCAACAAAAAGGAGAGAAGAGATCAAAGAAGAAAGATTGAGAATGAAGGTAATTACCTACCAAAGGAGTAAGGCACTTCTTCAATAGTGACGTTTACGATGGAGAAAAACCAGTGACTACGAAGGTACTCCTCTCCTTCTCCATTCTACTTTTGTTTGTCTTTCACTCCTCTCTTTTCGTTTTCGGTAATTCTTTGTTTTTTACATTTTTGCGAGGTTGTCGTCAATACTCAACTTGTGACGTTGAAGTTGTTTCGCAGTAGTTGAAGATCATGCTGAAACTTGAAGTTGCGGATTTAAGGTTCTTGAAGGTGAATCTTGAAGAGGGTTGAAGATTTTTTAGAATTGATGAGGATGACGATTTAAGGTGCGTGAAGATCTCAAGGAGAGTTGAAGTGTGGTTGCATAGAAGATTGAACTAGTGAAATTTTGATGGCGTTTCGAATGCGAAAACCAGAAATCAAGAAGACTTCAGTAGCACGAAGGTAATACTATGCTGCTTGAATATCTTCTTCTTCTTCTCTTTGTTAATTTCTTTTCTCTGCGTGATTGAGTGATTCTGTATTTGTGTTGGTGTTGTTTTCTGTGATTATGCAATTTACCAGCGTTGTTGTTGTTGAACTGATGCCAAGTGTTGTAGATTTGAAGCTGTTTCAAGATGAATTATTGATACCGTTGATGAAGGCTGAAGTTGCGAATTGTTGATGAATATTTGGTTGTTGGAAGTTGCAGATTAAGAATGAGAGTTTTTTATGATTCTGCAGAATATTCCCCTCATGGATCAAGGTGAGCAATTCTATTTTATATCTATGTTAGTCTGTTAGAGCTGAACTAATCATGAACCACTGGATTTCAATTTCTGTTAGCCAATTGAAGGGTACAAAATTAGGCAGTTAGAGATTGTTGGATTCCGTTTATAAAACAGTTAGAGGTTGGTTGGGTCTGTTAGTTGGTTTGGTTATAGTTAGTTATCAATCTGTTAAGAAGTTTGAGAGTTTGTTAGCTTAAATTCTGTTGAAGTTTGTTGCATCAGTTATGAATATGTTATAACTGTTAGTTCTGTTAGCTTTTTATTTGGAATGCTGGTTGTAGTTAGTTATGAGATGGAGGTTTGTTTGGTAATTGGTTAGGATTGGTTAGAAGGTTAGGGAGTTGGTTAGGATATGGTTTAAAGTTCGAGAAGTTAGTTACATTCTGTTATAGATTGTTTGTTAGCAGGGTAGTTAAATTGTAGTTTAGCTATCTTTGACAGTTTGCAGGGCTACTCTTCTGATTTTTGTAATTAGTTGATGAGTGGGTATGGGTTAGTAGAAACCTGAAGTTTAAGTGTTTGACAAAATGTAGAAATGACTTGGACCTGAGGAATACCATGACGCTTGCGCCATTTCATTGGATCTTCTATTGTGCTAGAACAATGTAGAGTGTGTGATGTTTGGTGCATTCTTTACACATGCGAATAGTGATAATGATTAATGATGTTGAACTATAAATATACAACACATGGATGATTTCCCCTGTACTGAAATGTGATGCATGTTTTTTACTTATGCTTATGCAGGTCTGATTGAAGTATGCTGAACTGAAGCAGCGTATTCAACATTTTATACTGGACTTGTTGCATGTATTATGAACTGATGTCATTCTTAGTTAGGCAAGTTGATGCAATGTCATGGTGATATTCTTGTAATAGCAGGGTGACTTGATGTGTGCATGAACATGTCAGTTGTATGCTATATTTTTAGATTTTATGATCATGATAATGAATGTGTGTGGTGCAGGTTCAGTGGTGCAGCTTGGCATGGTGAATGAAAAGGTATATTGAAGATGGTTTTAACAGCAAGTTTGGTCATAAATGATGCGAATATGACATATAAACATGGTGAAGAAATTCAAGACATAAGGGCATCAAGCATGAAGATTACTTTGAGATGTTATGGAAGCTTGAAGTTTGGTTTTTGCAACCAAAAGCATGAATTTCATAAGTCTAGAAACTTAGAATTCTTACGTTTTAGGACCAAATTCATACTGTCATGTTTAGAACTTTGTATTCTTGTCATTTTGAATGAAGTTGAACGAAGTTGAACGAAGTTGAACGAAGTTTGATAGAACTTGTACAATATGCTTGAATATCTTTGAATTTGATGAAATTTCTCCCATTTTATTTCTTTTCAAATGATTTCCACGTAGTATCCACGCTATTCTGAATACTTAGCTTAAGTCCCTGAAACAAACATTGATGGAAGAATTGGGAATAAATCCCTAATTTTGATGGATGATAAATGAATGATGCTTCCATACTTTTTGCATAAAGATCTTGACTCATACACCTTTAATTAATGAAAGTTAGATACACCTAGTCTTGATAACTTCGTAATCATAACCATAAGAAGATAAAATTTGATCCCCAAGCCTTAAAGGAATCCTCAAATGAATGACCCATCCCTGATTCCATGATTCTTGACTAATGCTGATGGAAATATAGTCCTATAAGTTGAGGAGGCTCCAAATAAATAATTCCATTCCATGGTCAAATAGAAATAACATTTGAATCTTGCTCAATTGATACACCCATCTCGAACCATATGGAAATCCTAATTTTAAGCCTTGAAGAAAGATTGCAACTTGATGAGAAGAAAGAATATTCTTATAGTTTGACGATAAAGTAGTCCAGGAAATAAAACCCTAGCTTCAAACGAACGATTGATGGAAACCAGTTGATTCAAGCTTGAATGAGGATGAGAACCTTGAAGCCAAACAACAAACCTAATTATTCAACACCCTTGATCCCATGCTAAATTTACTAATCGATGATGCATGATGTGTTAAATGATCTACTGAAGGTTATGTACGAAAGGAAAATATGAGATGCATAAGTCAGATAAAAGTAAAAGGGTAGGACAAATTTGGGGTATTACAGCTGCCCCTATTTAATCGTCTTAAACCTGAAAGTACGATTGGCACATTCCTTTCGGAAGTTCAAGGTTGAAGATGATTAAATATCAATGCCAAATAATTTGTCCTGAGAGAGAGAGAGAGAAAGAGTAAGTGTTTTCTTTATTTATTTTTGTGTTATCTGTTGGGGAAAAGAAATTTGTTTTTTTCAATGAAGAGACAGAGATTGGACTTGTAACGTGGCTTGATGCCAATACAAGACAAATGCTTGGTATGAAAAGACAGCGGACGAGGTCTACGGGCGACCTGCGATCCTAAGGTGATATATGAGAGTGATTTGATAGAGAACCTAGCCAAAGGGCGATCTCAGGTTCTAGGACAAAGTATATGGAAAGAACCTAGCCAAGAGGCGATCTCAGGTTCTAAGAAGGTGATCTAAGGAGGAACCTAGCCAAGAGGTGATCTCAGGTTTGATGATGATCTATGGGAAGAACCTAGCCTACAGGCGATCTCAGGTTCGACGATGATTTGAGGGAAGAACCTAGCCAAAAGGCAATCTTAGGTTCGACGATGACTTGAGCGAAGAACCTAGCCTACGGGCGATTTCAGGTTCGACGAAGATCTATGGGAAGAACCTAGCCTACGGGAAATCTCAGGTTCAACGACAATCTTTGGGAAGAACCTAGCCTATGGGCGATCTCAGGTTCGATGATGACTTGAGGGAAGAACCTAGCCTACGGGCGATCTCAGGTTCAACGACGATCTATGGGAAGAACCTAGCCTACGGGCAATCTCATGTTCGACAACGATCTATGGAAAGAACCTAGCCTACGGGAAATCTCAGGTTCGACGACGATCTTTGGGAAGAACCTAGCCTACGGGCGATCTCAGGTTCGACGATGACTTGAGGGAAGAACCTAGCCTACGGGCGATCTCAGGTTCTAAGATGGAAATATGGGTTACGACGTGATGATTGTTTAGATAAATGACACGGACGAGCATAAAGAAAGGTTAAACACGGACGAGTGTTTGAATCAATACGGACGAGTATTGAAAGAAGATATAGATGAGTATCAAAGGTTAAACACGGACGAGTGTTTGAATCAATACGGACGAGTATTGAAAGAAGATATGGACGAGTATCAAAGGTTAAACACGAACGAGTGTTTGAATCAATACGGACGAGTATTGAAAGAATATACAGACGAGTATCAAAGGTTAAACACGGACGAGTGTTTGAATCAATACGGACGAGTATTGAAAGAAGATACAGACGAGTATTAAAAGGTTAAACACGGACGAGTGTTTGATTCAATACGGACGAATATTTGAATCAATACGGACGAGTATGGAAAGAAGATATAGGTGGGTATAAAAAACGTGGGCGAGTGTTTAGAATTTGACACGACGAGTGTTTAAAAATTTACACTGATGGGTGTTTGAATCAATACGGACGAGTATTGAAAGAAGATACGGACGAGTATCAAAGATTAAACACGGACGAGTGTTTGAAAGAAGATACTGACGAGTATCAGAGGTTAAACACGGACGAGTGTTTAGGAATTAACACGGACGAGTGTTTAGGAATTGACACGACGAGTGTTTAGGAATTAACACGACGAGGGTTTAGGAATTGACACGACGAGTGTTTAGGGAACTGACTACCAGACAAGAACTGGGTTTAGAATGACAAAGTGTATTGATTTTGCTGGGCATTGAAAATTTGAAGGTCACCGACTGGGGACTTTGGGCATGATACCCTCCTGTAGGGACGTATTGTTGTCCTTGAATAATTCAGGTCTTTCATGTAAGGTACCTGATCTTGGCCTGTGCTTTGTATGCATGTTTGAATTTATTTTTGGCGCAAAGATCCACTCTGATGGATCAGCTACGCGCTTTTGAAGATGTAATGTTATGTAATGATAACTATATGCAATGCGAAGAAATAAACTTCATGGGAATAAGAGAAGGCTTGCTGGGAACCATTTCTCATCACTGGGGATGTCAATATATATCAACGTTGGAAGCCTGTAGTATCAAAGGTTGTTGGGGATACTGATAAAAATTTGCTTTGGGGAGCTCTTAAAGATCGTCGTTGACTCTGTTGAGGATTGAATTGCTGACAAAGCGAGTCTTTTAGGTATGCTGCTGGATTCTGAATCGTACCGTTTGAGGAAGAGATAATCTGGCCAGACTCCCATACATCCTGAACTGTTGAGGGGATGATGGAACTGAATACGCTGAAGAATGGATACTAAACGCCATGTGGATCTCCTTGAATACATGTCCCAAGTTTACGCACACTGGGGAATTATTTCTTGAATCACTTGTGGATAAGAGACGGGTATGGACACTTACAAGTGTCCCGGCTGAGCTCTGCGAATGCCCCTGTTTAGCTCTGCGAATGCCCCGGTTCAGCTCTGTGAATGCCCCGGTTTAACTTTACTAGGGGTGCTCTTGATTAACTCCACTGAGGATGCACTTGCGCGTGCTGAGTTAAAAGACAATTCTAGATTTTCTGAATTCATTTGGGGAATCAGACCCGAAGTTGTCTGTAGTAGATGGAGGCAGTTTCATGTGCTGGCTGGGTTAGGGTGACTGTCACAAATTGCTACCGGCAAGGAAAAACAACATTTGGAGAGCATATGACATCCCCACATGGTTATATATTGACGTGAAGTCAAGTTTTATCTCGGCTTGAGAATTTTTATTCCCTATGTTTCTAATGCCATGTTTAATTATCAAATAAAACATATTCTGCATACAAAAAAACATTTCATGATAATAAGAGGCAACTTTGATGAAAACAGATTTTATTGATTGGCCTGTGAATAGGCATTCGTACAAGGAAGCAACTCCTATATGAGGCAGCTGCAAAACAGAAACGAAAAAAAGTACAACAGGCATAAATGGCAATAAGAGATGCTCGAATTTCCATTAAAACTGGTATTGCTACAGTTCCCATATCCTAAGTTGTCTCAATGCCTTGCCTCCGAAGAGTAGTAGTTGGATCGGTCGATTCGCTGACAAGGTGCTATAGATGTGTATGTGTCATTTGGTGAAGAGCATTCAGACTACAGTCTCTCGCTTAAAATCCCTAATTTTACTTGGATCGCCCTTTCGGGTTTTCGATCCAACGGGATATCTATTTTTGCCTAAGTCGCCCTTTCGGGTTTTCGACCTAGCGGGTTGTTATCTTTTTTCATTTTATCCCTAACTTTTGCCTGGACTTTTGTGCCCACCGGGATGCCCATTTTTTGTGTAAGTCGCCCTTTCGGGTTTTCGACCTAGCGGGTCTCTTTATGCGTAGAATTTTTTGACTGAGTCTGAATTGACTGGGAGCGGAACGTCTTCCCCATCCATATCTGTCAGGATTAAGGCACCTCCTGAAAAAGCTCTCTTCACGATGTATGGTCCCTCGTAATTGGGAGTCCATTTTCCCCTTGGATCAGAATGGCTTTGTATGATGACCCTTCTTAGGACCAGATCACCAGGATAAAACTTTCGAGGACGAATCTTTTTGTCAAACGCTCTTTTCATTCTCTGTTGGTACAACTGGCCATGACAGATGGCTATCAGTCTCTTTTCATCAATCAGATTGAGTTGGTCGTACCTTGTCTGAACCCATTCTGCCTCATCAAGCTTGGTCTCCATCAGAACCCTCAACGAAGGAATTTCTACTTCAACAGGGAGCACGGCATCAGTGCCGTAGACAAGCGAAAATGGGGTTGCCCCTGTGGAAGTGCGCACAGATGTTCTGTAGCCATGTAGAGCAAAAGGCAACATTTCATGCCAATCTTTGTATGTTCTAACCATCTTCTGGACGATCTTCTTTATGTTCTTGTTAGCAGCTTCGACTGCACCGTTCATTTTTGGTCGATACGGCGATGAATTGTGATGTTCAATCTTGAATTCTTCACATGATTCCTTCATCATTTTGTTGTTAAGATTAGAACCATTATCAGTGATGATTCTATGAGGGACTCCGTAACGACATATGATTTCCTTCCTGATGAAACTGGTGACGACCTGTTTGGTTACATTCTTGTAAGAAGTTGCTTCTACCCATTTGGTGAAATAGTCGATAGCCACTAGGATGAATCTATGACCGTTTGAAGCAATTGGTTCAATTCTTCCAATCATATCAATTCCCC